GTGATATCCTAAAGAGTATGATAATTATTACTGATGTAACGAATATTCGGTTACTATTCAGCCGAATACCGAATACCTAAAAACAGGAGTAAGAAATAACAAAAACACAATAAATTAATCATTTTTGTATTTAGATTTAATGTTGTCAGGTTAGTGTTGTTTGTTTATATTTATTTATAACTTATAACATGCACAAAATAAAAAATGATATTATTATTAGTCACATGTATTCACAATTTATAATTACAAAGATCAGCACACGTACACACCTATTCGTTCAAGAATCGTCACACACATGTGAGGGTCTGACCCTGCCTATCCGTTTTAGGCACTCGTCTTTGCTCTTTCCTTTCTCTTTCCTCCATCTCTCTAGTCCACGTATGCCTATGCATACATACATAATAATATGTGCTCACGATACTTTCAGTTTGTCACTTTTTCGTTGTAGTTTTTCCATTTTATAACTACATGACTCATAGCCTGGTGATAACGGAGAAAAGAGACAGATAGGACATTGGTATATGTCACAGTTATGATTTCACAGATTCGAGACAGCTCGGTAGCCCGAACGGTCCCAGGTTTTCACCCGTGCACGCTAAGTGACTCGTTACAAGCATTTAGCTTTCTGAAGTCTATGACAATCACACTGACGGCCGCAAATTTTGTGCCAATAAGCTGCTTCAACTTGTTCGCTTATGTTATCAACTCAATTTCATATTTGTTTTCACATTTTCACTTTGCAGTTTTTCTCTGTTCTTTTTCCGTTATTTACATGTGTAGGTCATTTCATTGTTATTCACATTTGATATAATTTATCGCATACTGCTATGATGCTCTTGTCTGTCTGCTACAACTGTCAAGAATTAACGCGATTGGCAAAGTGTAGTGATAGCAGGCCAATAGAGAGCAGGGTCCTTGCCATAATGCAGTTTGCGTGCCAATTTTCGTACATGCATTAATCAAGCCGAATATTCAGCTATTTGGCATTCAGCCTCAGGCCAAATATACTATTTGTTGCGACACTAATATATATTTTTTTTTTAATTTTTATTCACTACTTTTTGCTTTCTTTCCTTCACTTCCACCAGCACTTTCACTGGATAGAGGTCGCTTGGTAAAATATCTATCCAAAAAGGTTTGGCTTTGCTTACTTTTTAAAATGTTTCTAAAATGACTTAGGCAAATGTCATTACTCCGAGCAGCAATACGGCAGTGGGAACCTTTTCGGGATGTTTCTTTTCAATAAAATCAGTCGCTTTCTGATAATACCTCAAGATTTCCTTTATCGAGCAAGATCCTTCCACGATGAAGCAAACACGCGGACTGAGACCAATGAACAGAAGTGAATAAAAAATGATGCTGCGAACTAATGTAACATCGTATGGTGAGTTTTTGTATCGTGGAGCAAAAATATGTTCGAATTTCATGTCGTATCCTGAAAATTTCGTATGATGGGGCGTTCGTATCCTGAGTATCCGAAAATTACAGTGGTACCACTGTAATTGACAAGTATACATCTGGTAAGCTTCAGGGACACATTATAATCTTTGGGGTGGTATGGTGTTAAGGTCTCTTATGCCACTGTATCCGTACATTTCTATATTCAACGGTGAGAGAACGACATTTCTAAATGGAACGTTGAGTTCACCGTTGAGCTCAATGGTCTCAACAACCGGAAAACCAGTTGAATATTCAACAAACTAACATGGCGGCTTCCATGAAAAAGTAAATTCCTCTTATAGAAATTCATTCGCTACTGTGGATGCTGTAATAGCGGACAGATTAATGAACGATCTGTATATGATAAAACATATGATTGCACGATTATGTTGGATAATTTGGTCAATATTGAAATATTAAGATTTATTTTCATTTGTTCAAAATTGATTATGACCGATATTTGGCCCTTTAAGTCTTTCTAATGATGTATTCAAGAAAGTAATTAAAATAATTAAAGAAAAACCCAGTAAACAAGAAAATGATACAGATATGGGTTCATTTGAATAAAAGGATTTATTCGAATAATGGTTAAGCGAGTTACTTTAATTATTTAGCAAAACAGCCACAATCGCCACCTTCTGGTTACTTAAGTCAGCCATCTTGAAAAGCGACCTCTCAACGAAAGCGTTTCTTTTTTCTGCAAAATGTGATGTCAGATCATTCAACAGAGGGACTCAACAGAAAATTCACTATTGAGTCAACTGTTGAATATAGAAACGTACTGTATGTTTTTGAATGTGTACTGTAATAGGTCAGATTTATAGGGATGTCATCCTGCAGCTTCTTAGAGGTGCACTTGATCCTGGGTTCATTTTAATGGGCAGTAATGCTTGCCTTCACAGGTCTGGCTTGGTTTAGGAATACCTGGAAATCAAGAATATAAGATGTCTGGACTGGCCATTCTGTTCACCAGACTTAAACCCATAGATTGTGTACAGAACACTCTTGGTTGCAGGGTTATAACTAGACAGTGCACATCTAGGCACTTAAAATAAGCTCTTAAATTGCATCGTTTAGGCTTTATAAACAAAAAATAGGTGGTCAAAATTTGCACAATGAACAATTAATGTACTTATCAGGTCAACGAATTTTTTATTTAACATTTGTATTCCAAACAAAAATGCACGTATTCAGATTGATGCAAACACAAAAGTAGACAAACAATTGTCTTTACATTTTTTATTCACTCTGTTTCCCATAGTTAGCTTTATAATATATTAAAAACACTTTTTCCAAATTTTCAATAGAAAAGTTGTAATGTTTGTCACTGAGAATTAATTTATATGCAGAGAAAAAGCATTCCACACCTGAAGATAATGGACAGTATTTCAACTTTGGAAGAAGAGGAACTGGGAATTCATTTTCAGTTTTGCTCTTCTTTCCTGCCAAAATATCAGCCACAACAAACAAGCACTTTAATCTAAGTCACTTTTGAAGCACTCTTTCTTCACTTTTTTTGCAGCAGTGCCTGGTGCATCACAAAGTTTCTGGTTTGCTCTGTTGAGGAGATCAATTTGTTCATATATAGGTTTTCCACTACTTTCAAGAGCAGTAATAGTATCTGCAATGAATGTGAAATAACACTTGATGTACACCAACTTGTTCTGAACATAAATGTCATTCAAAATTTTCTTGGCTTTAGTTACACAAATTGCATTGTCTGCTAAAGTGGCCAGAAATTTTTTGATATCAAAGAAATGTTCACTGTAATAGTACAAAATCTTAGCCATGTATATGCTAAGGAAAAAAATAGGCATTTGCCTAAAATCTGCTGTCTAAAAATGACAAATAAAGCATCTCTAATGCTATATTTATTAAATAAAAGCATTTATTTTAAAATATTTCGTATAGTTTTAATTTTATTACTATAAAATTGTGTCAGAGGGTATAATTTATTTCCATTATTATTGCATTCTAATTTTTTTGCTTGGGATATGCATTCACTGGGACTTAAATATATGTAATCAATAATAATAAAAAATGAATTTGTCTGATTGCATTTTCGGAAGAAAAATGAAACTTAAGCACCTAACAACATAGAAACTTAAGCAGTTTAATTTAAGAATTAAAGTAAATTTTTGCGAAAAATGAAACGAAAAATTAGTAAAAACTTTTTAAAAATATGAAAACAAACTAAAGTTTGTGTTTTAGGCAAAAATAGGCAGCAACGTCAAAATAAGCATTTTTAGGCGTTATAAAATATCATTGTTTTGGTCTAAATGTTCATGAAAAGTGTTCATACAAAATCTTAGCCATGTATATGCAAAGGTAAAAAATAGGCATTTGCCTAAAATCTGCTGTCTAGTTATAACACATCATCCTCCACTACGGACTACTGCAGAGCTCCAAAGAATACTTGTGCAAGAGTGGGATTCATTACCTCAGAAACTGCTTGACAGCATTATAAATAGTACTGCTGTGTAGCATATATTGCTGTTCACAGCCACCACACACAATTAAGCTTCATAGGACCACAGTGTAGCATTATGAGGGACAGCCCATGTCCATTTCATTTTCCCTTTTTTTCCAATGGGTTAGGTAAACCAACCCAAATTTCTTGCTGAATTTTGTCTTCTTATGTTCATTCTCTTGAAATGTGTTTCTTGCAGCTGAATGAGCCATAACCACCACATACAGTAATTCCTTAAATTATGGGCATGGGTGTATTTATTACAAAATTATACAATTATAAGTTTATAAGAATAATGATACAAATGCACTAATTTCAAAACAGTGAAATAAAGGTTATTGCATGACGCATCTATTTAAAAAAACAATAAAGTTTTGGTGAATAGTACAGCATGCCTCGATTAATGAATAGGGTGCATTCCACAAATTTACTTTTAAGTGAAACTTCATTCTCAGAGGTAAAAATACTATGACCTTAATGGGGATACATTTGTACGTAAAGAAAATAAAGGAACTTTTTTGAAAAAAGAAAAGCTTTATTAAATAAAAGGTCAGTATTAAATACCAAACAAGTATAAAATCACCACATTTTAAAATATGAATCTAAAATTGGTTGTTTATGCTTTTTTTCTCTTTTACTTAACAATTGCTTATATGGATTTATTGCATTTAACACTGATTTCTTAACAATAACACTTCTTTCTATATCAGGATCATTTTCACTGAAAAAATTTAAAACATTTTCAGTATTATTCAGTCATATTTTTAACTTTTAAAATTAAAAATTTGTACTCATCAGATTTCACAAAAAATATATATTGTTGATTTCTATAAACTCTTTTTAATTTCTTTACAGAGCTATAAATAATGGTAAATACAAAAGGCTACAGAAGAGGTACCAGATACCTATTTTCTAGAAAGTTTAGAAAACATGGTGTTGAACCATTATCTACATTTCTAAAAGTATATAAAAGAGGTGACATTGTTGATATAAAGGTAAAAATTATTATGTTGATTATGCATATGAAACATAGATTATAATTAATCAGAGAATAAAATTAGATATTAATTTTTTCAGGGAAATGGAGCTTTCCAGAAAGGAATGCCTCATAAATTTTATCATGGGAAAACTGGCAGAGTATTTAATGTTACGCCACATGCTGTGGGTGTTATTGTTAATAAAAGAGTGAGGTAACTTTATTTTTTTTTTGATGAATATACATAGAGCCAGGGTGGCCAAACTCCTTGATAGTCTGAGCCATTTTTCAAAATTTGAAATTTTTCGCGAGCCGCAATTAAATACATATTAAAAACATATGCAAAAAATTCCAGATTACAAATTATATCCTTAGCAAGAGTGATACAAATTGTTTCCTCCAGACCACACTGTCAACTGTCCGTTGCAATGATAATTTACAAATTCAAAATCGGTCTGAAGTCGGACGATTACGCCACTGTTTATGTTCGTTCGCGCAGTTTTCGATGAGTCATATCATTCTTAACTTGGACGGAAATGAAAATTGTTACAACGTTGCACTTAGTCTTTTATATTTGTTGTTANGCAGGAAGGATTATCGGGGGCGGATTTGTTAGTGACCCCTAATAAAAAGGGACAGGTACCCATACGTCTCCTTAATGCCACTAGACAGACCATTAAATTAGAAAAAGGATTTAAGGTCGGCACAATCTTTGAGGCGATCAGAAGAAACATCGTTACTACGCTTCATGCGATCAACTCCTCGAATCGACAAGCAACAATTTCCAGCTCAAGTCGAACAGGAGCCGAATCTGATTCGAACAATACGCTCAACACCTCCTCCATCGGATAGAAGAAATGTCCGAGGAAACACTATCAAACCAGAAAGCAGAAGAAATAACATTGAGACCGGAAAAGTCGAATCGGAAGATCTACCCGGCAACACAAAAAAGTCGGAACCGGAACCTAATCCAGAGAGAAAATTTCGACCAAGTCTAGTGAGTTTCATGCAATTACTTCGATTTTTAATGGTCATTTTTGGTCTTATCAGAAAACGTAGCAAGTCTATAGAAGACAACCCAGCACGAATAGTAACCATAACCGAAATGAACTCACAACGACAACAAAGTTATATCCCACTTCCGACCCATCCCACGACGCCAATGCTGCAAATTAAGCACAATTCCTTCGGGACTTGCCGCGAATCAAAAATTTGGGCAACGAAATTAGGAAAGCGCATGCTCTAGCATAGTGTTAGCTTCACGCTGCTATTATTTTTTTGAGAGAGTATTTAGTTATAACAATTGTTGTAACATAGACCTCTATATTTGTGACTTTAAACGCATGTTGAAGTGAATCAACGCGGTGGGTGGACGAACTTTACACACTGAGACTGTCAACATTGCAAGTCCGGCATCCAGTGAGGACAATTCTGCAGAAGACAGCCGCATCGAGTTACGACCGACGTTCTGACAAGGCTAACGTCCGAATGAGCAACATAGCGACCTTCAACCAACAACTGACACCTCCGCTACTAAGAACTGTGATCTATTGACCCAGATCATGTCAAGGACACTTCCAGTTGTGCTATCGGCACTAAAAACGCAGTTTTGAATGTTACGCGTCGAATTGTTAATGCCGTCACGCGAAATGTTGTTAATCCAACTTTTGATAATTTTGTCGGAAATTCTTTGTATTTTAGTCATAAGAGTAAGGTAATCCCCATGGCGGTCTAGAGAAATTTAATACAGAGAGAGAGAGTAAACGCGAATGTTAAAATTATACTGTCCAAAAGACGTATAATTTTAAAGAAAACGGAAAGTAGTGTGAGCCCGAGGGGCTTGAGTTCGAAAATTTTTAGGGTTAACATATTTTTCATTAGAGGATGGAAAAAAATATAACGGAAATAGATCGGATGTC